CATTCTTTCACTCTTTCTTATTGTCTAACGAATATTTCTCTGGCTGCATATAAACAGCGTAGCATTTTCTCATTTGTTTCATTTTCATTTTTCGTTAATGGTATTCTGACATTTGGAAGTGATGGGATCCTACTTCACCAGTTTTTAATTTGTCAAGTTATTTTTCGTGAGTTGGCCATACTGGGGACGTCTTTGGGGTGAGAAATAAGGTTTGAGGGGTTTTTTTTAGGTTGATGATGAAATATTTTTGACAGCTTTCTTTGTGTTGATATTTTCCTTTTCTAACATTTGAATAATTTTAACAATTTCAGTCAACCTTGACACTTACTGGGTTTGAAGTTCTTTGAAACATACTGGCTAGATAGAGAAGAGACCTAACTTCATACTCTATTCTAAAGGAGTTTTCAGTCATCTGCTTTGTGTATCTTGCAAAAAGCTAGGTAAGCTGCTGTCTCATTCTTGTTCAGTCAGAGATTGAGGAATTAAGAAAGCTTTGGCATGGGATATGAAGATAATAGGAATGGCCATTTAGGCCCAAGATGCAGGAGGTGCAGGACCACAACTTGAAGTTACTGTGGTGTATGGTAGGATGTGTGGAAAATATGAGATACAATTTTACAGTAAGCTGGACTACTGTAGTTCCCCTCATGGAACAACCTTTCTAATATTTAAGTTTCATTTTGTGGATTCAAGTCAGTTGCATCTTTTACCTGCTTTTCTGCTTCCCCCTAAATCCCTCCTCAAGAAAATTCCTGTAGCTGAACCACTTTTTTTTGTGCAGCTAAAGTTTGAGGACTTGTAGCAATATTTTTTTTTAACTACCTAATACATTGACCCTAATAGCAAGATAAATATTGAGTAGTCCATTATTGTGCACAGGTACTTTGAGGATTAATGAGTGTATATGCACAGGCAAGAGAATGAAAGCAAATCTGTCTGCAGAATTAGGCTATATTTAAGGATACTGAAATTTCTGCCAAACAAGGAACACAGTGAAATTTCATCTGCCATTTATGTTGTCCTTAATGTTCTTTAATTTAGCAGACAAGATAGTTTGCTTATAATTAAGCTTTTCTAATACTGTTGTTCCCCAAGGTTGTGGCATAAATCACTTTACTTTGTGGTTTTCTACATCTTCAGTCTCCATTTTTCATGTATAATTCTTCCATAAACAATCTCTGGGATGCAGCAAGACTTCATGCTGCCAATTGCTTCTTGTGTATGTAATGTGATTTTGAATATATGCAGTTGAATTTCCTTTTCCCCAATCTTAGGTTTTCTGATTTTCCTGGTGCTGTTTCTTCCTTCACTGTGCATGCCCTTCCTGCTGTGTTAGCAAATGTTTCTTTCCCAAAATAATTCTCATGGCAATTTCTATTACTCCTGACTGCTTTTTCAATAGGTAGACCTAGCAACTAGGCTGAATGGTTCAACAGTTGCTACTGAAGGACAAGGGGCAGTGGACACACTGAAAGAAAAGGAATAATTTTTAAACCTAAGAAAAAGGGGGGTTTTTTTGTTGTTGTGACTGAACAGTGGTTGAACACTGAGCAGGTCTCTTGGGGGAGGGGATGAAGTCTCTGTCCTTGGAGGTGTTTAAAACCTGCCCGTAGCAACATACTTGAGTTGACCCTGCCCTGAGCAGGGGGTTTGGATTGGATGATGTTCAGGGTTCCTTCCCAGCCCAGACATTTTTTGAATCTATGAAGTGAACTGGTTTGTCTTATCTGCAGTTCACTTCAAGACAGCCACATCTTGTAGGTTTTTTTGTACCAACTTATGCAGTGAGGCAAGTTGTAGTAATTCTCTCCTGCCCATCTTTTCACTATTTATTCCCCTGGAAAATTCAAAAGAAAACTCTAATCAACCTTTAAAATCTTGGACCATATTTCATGAGTCTTCAGGAGGATACTTTCCTACTTGTGTTTAAGATATATTCAACTTTGCTGTTCAGGCTTTGCTATAGCAGACCATGTTTGAGAAAAGATGTATTCAAGACTTGTTGCACAGAGGATTAGTTTAATACAAATAAAGATTTTACTTGGGGGAAAATATGTTTCTCCAAACCATCCTTTTAGGGTTTAAAAGGAAAATAAGGTAGCAAAAAAAAGGTATCTCTTAAGCACAAGAGGTTTGCAGATTATCTCTGTTTCGTGAGTGTAAATTCTGTGTTTTGCAGCTGACTTTCTGTTGGAATGAATGAGCTAGTAAAGACCTGAATTTCCCATTTTGGGTAAAACCAAACATGTAAATAATCAAATATACATACTGATATAACATTCAACTAGCATTTCAATCAATTAGGAAACTGTTAACCCACTAAGAAAACCATCTTGTGAGACAGAATGGGAGCACTGGATGAAATCATAACTCCAGTGTATTGAGACAGAACATAAATTGGAAACCAATTCCAAACTCTATTTTTTCTCTTTTATTTTTTCAACAGTGTGAAATTTTATTCTTCTTAGCTTTTCTTTCAGTCTTACCATTTGACTTAATAAATAGCACTCTCAACACCAACGCGTTTATTACAGTAATTTATGGCCGTAGAAGAGCTTATCATAGTCATACACTACTTCATTTATCTTACTGATAAGTAGTTTGTATGATTTCTTGTGAGGTAAGGTCTCACCCTAATAATGCCTGTGATTATAAACCTTACACACATGTTCCACCTCAAAGTAAGTAATAAGGGGATAAAAAAATCTTCAGTATCATTTGTTTGTCCTATATGCAGCTTTTTGTTGTCTTTTAAACTGAACAAAAAATTCTTATGCTGCAACAGAGTATTTTGGAGTACAGTGCCAGTACTTGATGTAGCATTAATCTGAAGCAAGTTTTGGAGACTTTGCACCATATTATTTTCATTATGAGAGAAAAGGATATAACACCTTAAAGCCCCTTTATGTTTGCCCACACTATGTATAAACATGATGCATGGTGTTTAATGGCGTGGTGGCTAATACTTCATTTACTCATTCCTTGTCTTTCAGGAACAGAACTTGCTGCTTTACTTGGGGACACCTTTCCTTGTCATTTGTTCCTCTTTGCCTTATTAAATATGTTATATTTGTTTTGCCTCCTGTGCTACTATGGTTGCGCAGGTTTCTTGCATCTGGTGTAGCAAGGGACATTTCCCATTCCAACACAGTGTTAATGCAAGAACAGGTAGTTGCACATTTCTTCCTCTGCCCTCTGCTGGTTTAGGAACCTTCTCTCATTCTTCATACCTGTAATGTATTATTTTGTACGTTACCTCATATTAGTGTAACTTGTAACCGTCTTAAAAGAAAACAGCTCACTTGTGCTTTGGATTAAAAAAAAAAAAGGAATAGTTTAAAAAGTCATAGTGGAGTTTTGATCACGATTGAATAAATAGGTTGCAAATACCTTCCCATAGGCAGTTCTTTCAAGGATTATATTTCAAGAGAGAGCATGTTATAACTTGGCTGTACTTTGCGTCACATTCTGTATTATATCATAAGTGAGAGTTATTTTTCACTTTTGTTTCCAGCTTCTAAAATTGCTAGACCTATTTTCACAGCCCCCTTTGTTAAAAAGGTTGGGGAAGATAACATTAAAAACAGCAAAACACACCAGTATCTGATAGTATGGATTAATGGATATGTGGATATTACATACATAGTGAAAAGTAGTTTCAAAGCACTGATTCTTTTACATACATATTTCATACATCTCTTATGGTTCAGTTTTTTCCCCCCTTGTTTTTGTCTTTGTATATTCCACAAAGCATTTCAGACTTAGCTGAATTAAAAATAAAACACTACTGCAAGCATTGGTTGGTATTAAATCTTAGAACATTTCCTCAATTTATCTTATTTCCTGGATGAGTTTTTCATGAAGTCTGGGGGAAAAGATACATTTGGAATTAAAAAAATAAAAATGAAGTTAGTGTGAATTGTGTTTGAGCCACAAGGGTTTATCTTACAAATAGGAGGCTCTTCTATTATACCCAGATTTTTAAGTTTTAAATAAGTAGGGTTTGTTTATGTAGGCCTTTTTATAGATTCAAAGTTGTAACAAACTTTTTTTGAGGCCCTGTTTGGTTTTTTTTAACTTGTTATATTTAAAATATTGTCAAATTTAAATGAGGTTTCATAAAAAATTTAGCTAGCTTTATTCACTGTTTAATAAAAAAGGCATTGGGAAGTTTCTTTTGTGGTGTGTTTCATTATCTTTTTTTTTTGGAAGACTGGATAATTGAATGTGTTACTTTGTTGTTTTCTGTCGTTTAAAATTGAAATGTTTTGTTTAGCATGCTTTCCCTTTCTGAAAAGTTTATTTTATCTTTGGGATTACTAATACCATGGATGTGATGAGTAGCTATGTAATGGTGACCATCTTGTCACCTGTCCTTCTGTAACTTCAGTATTAAAGCCTTGTCATCTCCTCCTCTCTTTTCTTCATCCACTACATGCAGCTCTCCTTTGAAAACGGCAACTTCTGTTCCTTTTGTAGTGTTTGATTCTTTGAATCTTGTCTTCATGAGTATTTGAAAGTGATTCTTAACACTGGAGAATTGCTTTCCTGTTCTCTGTAGTGATTCAGATGGAGTTTCTATGTCTGGTGTCTGTTTCACTTTTCTTCAAAAGATTGGTTGCTTAACCAGTAGTATGTCTTATCTGTTTAACTCTTGAAAGGCTCTAAATAGTACTGAAAGTAATACTGTGTTTGTATTCTTATTTTTGTTCCTTTATTCAGCTGGGGAAGGTACTCTTCAGAAACAGATATGTACTGTAAACAAATATGTACTGTAATCTTTAAAAAAGTATAATATAGAGTAGGAGCTTCCAAAACACAAACAAAACCCCAAAAATTATATTTCGAAGGCTGAGTTCATATGATAAGAAAGTCTCCAAAGTATGAAGAAACGTTGCTGAAAATAAAATTCATGCTATTTACAGAATTGATTTTGTCTCCTGATATGATTGTTTTATACAGAATGTGCTTCATAGCTTCCATGTTTTAATTTTTTTTAGGAAGAACAGAATCGAGGCAAGGCCAACTGGGAACACCTGAATGAAGATTTACATGTACTTATCACTGTGGAGGATGCCCAAAACAGAGCAGAAATAAAGCTGAAGAGGGCTGTTGAAGAAGTAAGAAAGTTACTGATACCTGCAGTAAGTATTTATATGCAACCCTTTGATTTCCATTTTCAGAAGGTACTTTTGAAATACAGCTAACTTACTACAGGTGTAAGAGTAAGCCTGCAGAGTGGCATCGTAAAATGAAGTTAAGATACAACTTTGTAATAATCTAGTGATCTTTAAACTGCTTCATCTGAGGCTGAATTATTCCTTAGAAGAGAACAGTATTTTAAAGAGACTATTTTTTGTCCAAGATACAGATACAGGAAATAGTTATCACCTTCAAAAGGTAATGCTGAACTGTTACAAACACTAGTTTTCTCTCTTTTCTTCAGTATTAGTATTCTTCCCTTTAAGGCTGGGGAAGTATTAACAGGCTTTTTTGTTTCACTGTGAAATGATTCTGATACTTTAAGAAATGAAGACATGTTTTTTTTAGATGATCACCTTAAACATTTTGCAAAAAGAACAAAACCCTTTAGTATCAAAAAACTTTGCTGTCAGTATACTGGGAAGAAACAAAAGTAGTGAAACTGGAAAATGATAATTTCTCATTTCCTGATAGTATAAACTGGCTTCTGCACAGCTAGATGACTTAAATCCTTTTTCAGAGACCAGAATTACCCTCTGAGAGCCCTTCTCTTAGATCTTCTCTGTATTCTCACTCAAATCAGTGTGACTCAGTGTGACTGTATAGTGCATCCCATGCCATTAACTCGTATCTTGTGCTCATCTTTGCCACCACTTTTGTGTCCCTGTAAAATGATAAGAATAAATTAGATCTTTCTCAGTGGTGGAAAAATTTTCTGTCTTACAAGGAAAATTGAGACTATCTTGTGCAAGTAAGTAGTAGGGGGTATTAAAATGACCTTCTAATTTTGGGTACTTAGTGAATGCTAATAGATGCTGGCTGTGAGGAAACTTGTGGTTACACATGCTGTCTCTATAAGCAGATTTATTCAGAAGACATTTTTAGAAATTACTAAAGATAGGGAGAAAGTCTTAAATTCTGAATTTCCAAAAAATGATAGAATATTAAGCAAGAGGTAGGAAAACTGATTTAGACCTCTTGACATTGTGCATTGGCAATTTCTGAAAGCAGAAGACAGCTAGAGAAAGTAGATCTTCAGAATTTACTCAGTTATTAAAGAGACCTTGAGCACATTAGGCTTGAGTTCATAGCCAGGATTTTTATACAGGCAAAATTTTGAAATGCTTATGTTCATTCTTAACCTACTACAGAGCAAACAGTTTAAAAACCAAACTTCCTTGTGAATTAATTTTGTCAGATGTCTGTTCATTCTTCTGCCTCCCCCTGAATGCTGAATAATATGACTGAAGGGTCAACTTCAGGATGAAAGGTTACAAAACCCGCAGTATGTCTGAAGTGCTGATGCGTAGACTCCGTGTTATGCTTGTGTTGTGGAGCTGTTGGATGGGTGTGTTCTGGGCCTCAAAAAGAGTGTAATGCATTCGTAAGTAGTTCTTTCATTGTGAAGGTGACAACCAGCTCTTTGTCTTGAAAGCACTCTGCCTCTTGTAGTAGCTTAATCAATTGGGGAAGCACTGTAATCCTGATTGTAGGAATAATTGTTTTTCCCCTTTAATGAAAAGGAACAACACAGGGCTAACTATTGTTTGAATAGAAAATAACTTGAAATACGCTTTGTCAGTTCACTTCATTATCATCTTTATGTATTATGCATAGGCATAAGAAATTTGGGTGGTACATATTACTTGCACAAGAGTTAAAGGTCTGTTGGCTGTAATTTCTCAAAATTATGCCTTGCTGAAACAAGTATGTGTAGTACATACTAATGGATTAGTGTATGGGTGAACTTGGGTTTTTACTACCTATTGTATCTGTTCAATTAGTATAAAAAAATGAAATTGTGGCTTCAGGCAGTTTGAGAGCTGAAAAAATTCAGTTTAGCATTAAAAGATAGGAATTGAAAACCTCTATGAGGGAAGTCATAAACCTTCAAATAATCAGGATAAGCATAAGGAAAGAAGGGAAATCCTAGTGAATTATAACAATATGAGTGAAACTGTGGATGTTGGAAGATGCCAAAGATACTCTAACATGTAAGAATGGAAAAAATAAAATTCCCTTTCACGTGGTAGAATACCTGCAGCTATTAATGTTTTTCAGATAAATGTCAAAGGATTAAAATGGAAAAAAAGATTATGTATGTCTGTTCTGTCACTGTCCAACTTGATTAAAATTTGAGACTATGTAGGAGAGAAGACTCATTTTCATTCTTGCCATACAGTGTGACAATGGTTTGGGTTTATGAAATAAATTTTAGAAATGTGTTAAGTGTTATGGTGTTCAGAGATGGAAATTAGTTCCTAATGTTTTGGAATGATCAGTTATTTTTGTACTCAAGATGTTAAAAATCCTAATTACATTTTCTAGCATCAGTGCATATAGGCCTATTTCTTAAAGTGGATTTCTATTTGAATGTACTTGGGTGAACAGAGACTATTTCAGTACTAAAGTGTGTTTCTTACATTTCTGAATCTGGATCATTAGTGTTTGGTTTTTTTTCTCCATTCTGGATGTGAATTATTATTTTCCCTTTTCACTTGCTCTTGCATTTTACCAAGATAGTGATACAGTCAAGTAGTTTATCTTTAGAAATGAAAAGCACAACTTGAGGAAGACTGGCTGAATAAGCCATTTTTTTTCTCCTTGAGGAGAAAGGCCAACTTTTTTTTTTTTTTCATTATTATTCATTTGTATTTAATTTACATTTCTTTAGTATGAAGCATTTTTTAAAAATCTTTGGCTGTACTTCAAGTTCCATAGGATTAATTCTTTTCCTCTTCCCATAGCTCTGTGAGATACTGGTCTTTTATCTACACCTGCAAGATCGCACAGTATTACTTCCTTCATGTTTTTCTTCAAAAAAAGCAGTATTAATAAAGCAGTCTGCAGATTTTTGGGATCACATCAAGTTGTACTCTCCTTATGCCTCTTTCTGGAGTGAATCCTCCAGACCACTGATCTCTGTTGCGAGAGCTTTGAGAGTTGTTTGTTATTTGCATGAGTTAAGTGAGGATGGCTGGTTCTCTTGCAAAGGAGAGGCAAAAGGTGCTCTGGTTTGATAACTGCAGAATAGAAGAAAAAAATCAGAACCTGTTTGGGGGCATACATAGTAATGAAATATAGCACCAAACCAGAGCATCATTCAAGGTTTGAAGTTGTTCTTTGAGCTCCTGGGCTGTAGGGCTGAACTCCTCTGCCAGAAATGTTTGGCCTTCTGCATATTCTAAGAAGCGTTGAATAAATGTTTCTACCTGAATGAGTTTATCTAGATATTCCTTGTATTTTAGAGATGACCAAGTCTCATTTAATTACTAATTCACCTTTACTAGCTGCCTTTATAAAGGATGAGACACACATGATACAATTCAAATTAGGGACAGATGATTTTTACTGCTTTCTTCTTTAGATTCCATGTTGCCTTTCCAAGGAAAAGATTGTATTTCTGGTTTCCACTTAGCTATTCTAAATTGGTCTGGAATCAGTGATTTTTTTTTTATTTTTTTTTTTTTATTGCTTTTCTAATGTTGGGGCAGCTGTAATTTTATTTGGTTGCTGCTGTTCCATCTTCTTGGAAGACAGCTACAACACAGAATTATTCAGGGATGCTCCTTGACAAACTGTGTATAATTTGCCACTACTATGCAGAATTTTACAGTTGTCATGATAGGAGATAACGTTTCAGTAGAAGCTTGTTTCATTTTGCTCCTACATTTGGATCTTGCCTGTACTAGTGATTTTAGACTTAACAGTTTTGAATATCTTCAAATTTAGCTGTATGAGAAAGTACATGTGCTGTATACAGCATAATTTTTACAAATTGGAGCATTTTTTATAGTGGTGCTTGGTATGTAGTCATTCACTAATTGTCCTCCTTCTGTTAAGGCCCAGTTACTAGAGATGTTGTTTTGATGGTATTTCTGTTTTTACTCACATTTACATACAACACTTTTTCTTTTATATAACAGGAGAGAATATTATGAAGGAGCGATAGTATTGGTAGAGTGGTTTATTTTTCACTTGAATAAGCTAAAAGCATTTCTTTCTAAAAGACTGCTTTCAGTATGTGTGATGAGGTGGGGCTTGTTTATTAATTAAAGTGAATTTCTAATACTCTCTTTATAAGCATGGTTGTAAATTTTCCTTATGGTTTATTTTCAGCTACTTAGAGTAAACTGAAGGATGTCTTAATTTTTACCCTGGGAACTTGGTGTGCTGTGAATTCCATCTCAGAATACAGAGAGAAAAAATTAATTTAAGACTGTTTAAACGTCCTTTAGTTAAGAAAAAGAATGTAGTTGTTATAGTAATGCTATAATAACTGTACATAATTTGTTGCTCTGTAATTAAGACTAGCAAAAGCTTGACATTTAGAAGATATTAACAGAAGATTTCTTTTTTTTTATTAGCTATCTAAAAAGTCACAATAAATTCTGCATGCAAGTTAGACTTCCTTGAATAGCTCTTTCTAATTCATTCCTGCATGGTGTGTTGGTTTTACATTTTTGCTTTCACAAGTGAGAATATAGTGCTGTCTTGTATAGTTTCCCTGTTGAACTGTTGGTCATACTGTGCAATCCATTGTTTGCTGCTTACTCAGTTCAAGTCATGAAATTAATAAGTGATACAGTAGCAGGAAAAGGATACTGCTGTCCTTAAGAGCATTTTAGGAAATTCCTACGTTTTGACTGATTTGTCAAGTTCCGATACAAGTCACTCAGGGCGGGTGATCAGACAGGAAGCTCTGTACGAAGGGCAGCGAGACAGCCAAACGCCTTGGCAGTGACTGCTGGATAACGTGGTAAACTTTTTGATGTGGGGGAGAGGTGACAGTGCATTATTTTTAGTAGTGTGAAGCGGGCTTAATGTTTCCATGGCTATATGGACTGAGGGCTGCTGCAGTCCTGCCATTCCTTCATGATTTGCTGTTCCTGCTTCCTGTTTTGCATCGGAAAGCCCTGGCCTTCATCGGGCGAGTCCATTT